TTTAAATTACATCTGTCTCCCCCCACAGTGGCCGTTTTCAGTGGACACCAGAACTCCTCGTTCTATATCAAGTCCACAATCAGCCCTGATGACCAGTTCTTGGCCAGTGGATCCAGTGACAATCACACCTATATTTGGAAGGTGCCGTCTCTCATTACATGTTACCTAGATAAATTTGTATTTTATTATCCATCCTAATGTCTCCTAGCTATAATATTTTTTTTAACTTCTTTTAATACTCCAGATCTCTGATCCTCAACATCCTCCCATGATGCTCCAGGGACACAGCGAGGAAGTGACCTCTGTCGTATGGTGTCCGACAGATTTCACTAAAGTAAGTCAGCGAATTTGAGCTGTCTTCCTCTGAGGTTTTTTCGCTCGCTTCTTTCCGATCCTATTTTTACACCCCGCTGCTCTGTCGGCAGATTGCTTCCTGCTCCGACGACCACACCATACGGATCTGGAGGCTTCGTCGGGAAACGGATGGAGCACAGTCACCAGTGGGTGAAGCCAACCTCGTAGGCTGGGCACGTCCCAAATCTCCCACAAGTTAGTACTCTTCACTAGTTCTTTTTGATTTTGTTGTTGTTAATCAGTCTAACTTTCATTAACTCATACAGAGAAAAACGAGCTGAGCAGCTCTTGCATCTCCTTTTGGAAAAGATTTTTACACTCATTAAACTGCTAATGTTTATGTGTTTTATTGGGATTTTATGTAATAAACCAACACAAATTAGAGTATATTTATGAAGTAGATGGTTTCCACGCGTCTTGACAAATCAAGTATCCATGTGTGTTAACTCTAAATAAAATGCAGTATAAGAAATTGGCCTTTATGAGATCTTTTACTCCAATTTCACAGTTAAACATGGTGGAGGCAGAATCATAATGTGGAAACGGTACTTAAGCCTCCAATGCAAAAACACAAATTCATACCAAATAATTTTGGTCCACAGTTCAAATATCTTTGTATACTTTAAATCAGACAAAACAAATTTACAAGTAACATTTCAGCAAGATAGAGGAGCTTCTGTTAAGTCAATATGTCCTTAATATTGATTTTAGAAAAAAAACAAATCCACTGGAATGAAATGATGAACAGAATTTAATCATGATAGATCCACTCCTTAAATAATCGTCAACTAATTTAGTAATTGATTAATCGTAAGCTCTTAAACGGATCGTTTGCTGAAAGAATCACGTACACAGAGCAGTGACTAAGTCAAAACGACACAAAAATATCCTTCGTTACAATCAAGTGTACACTGTTTTTGTATTTTAGGCACACATTGTTTATTTTCTTCTTTGAAAAAGAAATAGAATTATTTATTTGCATCTTTTATTGTCTCTCTAATGTTGTATATGTGTGGTTACATGAAAAATTGGAAGGATGTGTGATTTTTAACATCTGATTAATCATCAAAATAATTGACAGAATAATCAAGTACTAAAATAATCATTAGTTGCAGCCCTATAAGTGAAATAATCTGCCAGTGGAACTAGTACTTTTTAATCAATATTGAGGCATTATTGGTTTAAAAGAACCTCTTATATCTTGCTGAAGAGTTACTTGTAAGTCGGTTTTCTTTCAAAGTGTACTAAAATGTTTACACTAGAAACTAGACAAAGTACTTGGTAAGGTTTTGTGTTCTTGCAGTTTTTATAATACATAAACTCTCCATCATAATTAACTGTTGCTGCTCCTACTAACTGATGTAAACTGAACTTTTTTCCCTTGTTCAGTGCCTTTAGCCAGAGCTGCAGTGTCCCCTGTGAATACCCAGAAGACGCCAAGTCTCGGCGGCCTCGCCTCGCCACAGCTCGCTGTCTGTGCTCCTAACAGAGCTGCCCTGCCGCTACCGTCCAGCACCACGTCGCCGAAAAGCTCTGTCCCACTTCCCGCTCAACAGAGAACATCTTCTATCCAGCGGTGGTTGTCCCCGACCCATGGATCTCAGAGTCGGGTCACCGCCACTACTCCACCACACCAAGTGCTGAGGCCGTGTCCTCTGAGCCCAGCGAGCGGCGCCTCTCTCACAGAGCGACGGGCCAAACGCAGATTGGAAACGGGTGAAAGTTCACCTTGCAGCTGCGTGAACGCGGCACAATGCGAGTGTGTTTCAGAACTCTACGCTGCATCTAAAAGGAGCAGCATCCTGTCTGATGTACGCTGCCTTGCTCAGGAGAGCGAAGTACAGAGAGACTGTCACGCAGAGGACAGCGAACCTGTTACCTCCAGGCAGGCTGGGAAGGAGAACTGGTCTCCCAGAGCAGGAAACTGGTTGTCTGAAATGGGTCAAAAGATGAAAAAAAGTCAAGATGGTCCTAGTGCACGTAAGAAACAAGAAGGGAAGACGCCAACCTCAACAGTAAGTACAGAGATCCCAGGTCTGGACGTAAACTCACACTCTTGCTCTGCCTTCAGCTTCTTTTCTTTTTTCTTAGCTTCCTGTCATGGTTTGTTGAAGTTTGGTGGCTTTGTTGAAGTAAACCATGAGAGGAAGTCTTATTCAGCTGTAAAAGTGAGAGATGCACAGATAGATTGCAACAATGTAGCTGTTCTTCCTTTAGGATTCCCTTAACTATTTAATGCATTGTTCCGCTAACAAGGCTAATAAGGTACAAATACATCTCAAAAGATTAGTATTTTTTGTAACTGATTTTGGAAAGTGAAACTCATATATTATATGAATTCATTACACTTGAAGTGAAATATTTCAAGCCTTTCTTCTTGTAATATTGATGACAGTGGCTTACAGATGTGTCACAGAAAATAAGAATATTGTGAAAAATGAGAATATTGGAAACTCATACCCTGCCAGCATGCCTAGGTGGGCCTCATATGAGGAAAAGGAGGGCAGACCAGATGGGTCCCATATGGGTTTGTCCGCGGGTTCCACAGTGGCCCCACATGGGTTTGCCCATGTAGGGCCACAGCCTACATGGGTGGACAAACCCATATGGGACCCATATGTCTGCCCACCTTTCCCCCATATGGGGCCCGCCTAGGCATGCTGACAGGGTGGTGTCGCACCCTAATCGCATTGATTCAATGTTTCATGCAAAAGTACCCCCAATCAAGTATTAAGTGCATAAAAATGCATATACCTATCAGAAGTCTAGCATTTCTTTTTAAAATATCCTAATTTTATTTATATTATGTATGATTCACATTTTTGGAGATGTTTAATTTTGGGTCTTCATTTTCTTGTAGGCCAGAGTCCTCAAAATTACAAGAAACAAAAGTGTGAAATGAGTGAAAGTTCCATTTTCGTTTTTTGAGATGCATGTATAATTCCTTTATTTAGATTACAAACTGCTATTGTCTGTATTTTTAAGTCTCTTGTGTGCTACAGTCCTTGGAAAAACCATATTGGTTGGAAAAAATGCATTGGTGCATCTCTACAAAAATCTGCCCTGTTATTTACACAACTTTTAGGAATGATTTAATTTATAATTTGTTTTCTGTCTTTAAGTTTTTTCATCTTTACAATATGTCGGACAGATATTTTTTTATGTTTTATGTGTTCCACTTATCCTGTTTTATTTTGTTTTCCAGATTCTTCACTCATCAAAAATCAAGAAAATCTCCACATATTTTGAGAAAAGGCCTCAGGAATGATCTGTTTGAGCCACAAATGTGCCACAATTTTTATTTTGTTTTTTTTTTTTTAATTTTTTGTCTGGTTGCACAGATGTCAGCCAAACATTTTTTTTATAACTGATTACTTGTTTCTAGCAGTAATTTTGCAAATTGCTGTTACCCCTGACACAGAAATCTGCTGCCTGAAAACATCCTATCATCTTAAGAGATGCACAAGCTGCTACTTAAAGTGTTCATTTGATTTGTTTTAAAACTTTTTCAACGGATTTCTTATTCATTTTACTAAAGATTTATACTAAATGTGTTGTTTCTTTTTTTATATGAAAAGTTGAATTTTGATTGACATATATGTTCTGTATCACATGGACCTCATGATCTGAAATTAGTTCAATCAGCTCTTTTTAATCTTTGGGGTTATTTATACATGTGCGTCTTATTCAGCATGTTTTTGTTCCATTTATGAACAGATGTTTATATGTACAAAATAATCCAAAAATGTTTTTTGGCTTGTTGCACATTCTTAGTATTCAGGTTTTATTAAATTTAAAACAACGTTCAATCTGTGTGATATGTTGCTTGTTGTTCCAGTTAGAGGTTGACATTATGAGTTTGGGTGTCATTTGTTCTAATAATGAATTTGAGTTTTTCATTTTTAGATGACATGATGGTACAACTTCACTGGCTTTTCTCCCTGGAATTGGTTGGTTTCCTACCATTTATTGGAATTTTAGGCATAATTCATGGTAAAAAAAAATACTTTGTTAGGATGTTAAAGAACAGCCTGGAATCACTGAGGCTCAAACTGGAATATGATGGAACAATGGAGAGATCATCAAAGAAAAATCAGTTTTACATAATCCTTAAAATTCATACCATTTGAATTTGTAGGTGAAAATACAGACAAAAAATGCCTTCTGAAAAATGGTATTTTCATGTGATTGTAAAAGTGTGAAAAATTTGATATTGTGCGTGCTGAAGATTGAATTTTATCAGCATTGTAAGAAAAAAGAAAAATACTTATTAATTCAATGGCTGTCTTTAAAAGAAGCCCCCCGTTTTGTGTTCGGAGAACACAAAACGGGGATCCTGAAGGGCTTGAAAGGCCAAGGGTTCCCTTCATAACTAGTCTTAAAATACTCCATTCTTGTGTGAAGGTTGTTGTACGTTGTACATATTTTTGGGCTGGGCAGAATACTTTCTGTTGTGTAATTTTACCCGATTACTACGGCTGCCTGTCAGATCACATTCAACTGAACGTCAGCCTTTTTTTGTTTTTACATTTCACATGTAATTGACCCGCTTTCAGTGCGATGTGATTGGTTTAAAAAGTTTCAAGTTTTTAAAATACGCGCCCGTGATTGGCTGGAAGTAACGTCAATCGATGACGTCTGACCCGTCAGCGCTTCTCGAGTAGAACGCAGAGACGAAGAGCGACGGAACGCCTGGGAGCGTTTATGGCTGCCTTCTACACTCGGCATCCAGTAATTTCTTCTCGGTCTTTTTAGAGGCCGTGGAAACGAGACTGTGGCATTATATATTGCGTGGAAATAGCCTCCGACAAAGTCGCTCTTGCGCAGTCACAGCTAACCTCCAGCTGCTAAGGAAGCAGATTTCAACTTCGTCGCCCGTGGATAGTTGTTTTCAAGAGATACTCAACGGAACTACAGCTACAACCGGTGCTTGAAGAAGTCGCGGAGTTGCCGTTGAACGGAGAACTAAGTGAATTCGAAGGGACGAGGATTTTTCATAACTTTTTCCTCGCCAACATTGGAGCGTATTGTTGTAGCGCCGCATTACCATCAGTTAAATTTGGCAAGCTAGCTGGATGCGTTAGCTGCGAGCATAGCTGTGCAACTCGACTGCAGTCAGGATTGTAATCCAGGCAACTTTTAATGATAATGCCTTACCTACGTTATGCAACAGGTAGACCGTTTGCAGGCACGACAGATGAGCATAAACGGTTAGATATTTAGACGTCAATCTGTCTTTTTTAAGTGGTTAACTTTGGGGCGCGCGGCGTTTTCGTCTTAGTTTGGATTTTTTTTTGAGTGTAAAGCACTGATCCGCATCTCACAGTTGAAGCTCTTCAAAGATGCACTTTAAGGACTCCGTCTAACCGACATGTAGACATGACCATGTTGGATCACACGGAATAATACGAGCCCCTAGCTCGGACAGTTGGCTCCAGAATTTGACGCTGATGTGAGAAAGAGGGAAGCGGAGAACCTCAATCATCTGATCTACAGTAGCTCGCCTGCAACCTTCGTGAGTTTGTGCATCAAAATGTCCGCCGTCTCTGCATCCGAGAAAGTGGACGGGTTTACGAGGAAGTCTGTGAGGAAGGCGCAGAAGCAGAGAAAATCCCAGGGCTCCTCTCAGTTTCGCACTCAGATCGCTCCGATCGAGCTGTCCCCACTGCCGCAGCTCAAAGGTACGGTAAGAGGATAATGGAGGGTGTCTGTTGCTTTAAATACTATGTCCTGGCCATTGTTCTGTGTTCACTGTTGGATCTGCAGCAGACAAACACAACCTTTAAAGGAAAGCTGGTGGGTAAATACAAGTTGCTCGAGGAGGCCTTTTTCTAGGTATAAATCAACGCGTCCCCTTGTATTTGTCATGTCTTCTGCAGATACTAAAACTTGACCACTGGGTGTTTGAGAATAATTCAGAACTTTTTCCAAAAGTGCACCACATTCATGGTTTCTCTTAGCACCATGAACTCGCACGAGATATTGTGCCTTTCAAAAGTATTTATTTCCTACATATTTCATATTATGAGCCCAAAGTACAATGTATTTTATTAGGATTTCATATGCTACACCAATATGAAAATCCAATACAAGCTGTAGTTTTTATATTTCCCCTAAACATCAAATTAACCTTGAGTAATTTCATTTCAGAACATTAGTGAAGAAACTGCATCATAAAGCGCAAAAGGAAACAGACATCTTGGGTAGAAACTTGGAGAGAAGTTTAAAACGGTACGCTAACTGTTGTACATCTCCTCGAGATGGCAGGTGATGCATAGTCTCAAAATGGAAAGATTATAGAACATCTAACAACCCACTGAGACTTGGTCGTCCAGGTAAATTGACAAGTTTGGCAAAGATTGTTTCATACAAAGAAGCTGGCAAGAGGAAGTTGTAACTCGGGATGAAAAGCATTGTTGTAAAAGTATGCTATGAGAAGTCTAGCTTTGCATGTAGGGTAGACAACAGACCTTTGGAGGAAGGTAGTGTGGTCAGACATTTTGGTGTACACCTAAAAAGAAGGCTAGTGAAGAAACACTAGCCTTCCACATGACCCCAAACACATGTGGGTAAAGATTGTCCTAAAGTCTTGTTGTTGTAAATACAGCAAAAGAGAGATCAACAAAATATTGTCTCAGAATTTCTAAATAAAAATGCACACCATTTTTATTTAGAGAATTTAATTTCTTTAAAAAAAAAAAAATCAAAAACCATCTCATTTTCAATCACTTTACAATTTTGCTAAATTTGTACTGGCCTATCACGTTTTCAAACCCATGTCCAGTCTACCTTGTCCTGCATGGACTTGCAGACAAATCATAACAAGACAGACGACAAGCTCTGTTACTGCCTTGAGTGAGGAGCTTTTATTGTCAGTGTTTTATCTCAATGGTGGTAGAAACAGTTTATAGTAAAAACAACTTGGAAAGCAGAAAATGACCTATTGATTTTGCTTTTCAGGTTTATATTTTAACACTTTAGAAAAACTGAATAGTGTGTGGGGGGGGTTGGGTCATAACTGCAGAAAAAGTGGCTTTGCTTATCTTCATCCTTTCCCATATCAGGCTGATAAACGTAGGTGTTTAATCGTACTTAATGATTCACATGACTGAAAGGACAAGGGTAAATGAGTCACCTTTTACATACCATTCACCTTCTTTTTCCACCTGATCGTTTCTCCTTTAGAGATTTTTCTCTGTTAAACCCAAGAGCAGCTGTTAAAGAGCCTCAGGACAGTTTTGTGGAATGTGGCTCTTTGTAGATTTGTTTTAGTTTAATATACAGCTATGTGTCGTAGGTAAAAAATAAGCATAACGACTCACTATCTGGATGGGAGGTAATGCGCATATTTTAGCATTGAAACAAACTCCACAAGTTTGAGTCATAATTTTAAAGGTATATTAGACAAGTTGGTTCCTTGTCAGGGACATACCAGTACCGTTTTCGGTTTTAGTTCTTTTCTTTCAAAGGACTTTAACTAGACAAATCAAAGCATGTTTGCCAACCCCAACAGATGCCTGATGAGAAATCTGCCAGTTAGCCTCTTTTAGCCTGGAGCCAAAACCAATCCTGCTGAGCCTAATAATAATTTCAGTTCCAATGAACAGTGTGTGTATAATTTTCCTCAACGATTCTTCTGAAAAGCTCCCCTCAGCTCCCATTGTCTGTCAAGGAAGTGATGTAGCATATTAAAGATGATCTTGCATCAGGCAGGACTATGGTTCTGTAAATTCCTCTTGGTTTCTGCTGAAGCAAGCTGCAGCGGTTTGATGGATGGGGTGATGCTATGAGGAAGAGCAAGTCAACTAAAAACGACTTGCCTGTTCACGTAGTTGAAACAGATTTCATGCAACTTTTCTCAAGCTTAAAACAAAACATCACAAATGAGCTGATGTCGCCATTGACTCATGAAACGATGAACTAGTATGCTAAAAATGTTTACGCTATGCAGCAGGTTATAAAAGTGATGACAGATATTTAGCAGGAATTTCATACCATGTGTTTTTCCCACTCATTAAATAACACTGACATGACTGGAAAAATCATGCATCCATACATGCCACGGTTATAAAACTAGCAAATTATCCATCTATTTTTCCATTTGAAAACTCAAAGGTTATTTGTGTTTGATTTAAATTCTGCTGATTGTAGATGAATAGAACCTGAATATAACATTGTATTAATTACATATATATATATATATATAAATGCATTATATTACCAGGATTCATAAAGTGTCTGGTTAGGGTTATAGTTGTTGCTGTTCATCAATCTGTTTTTTTTTTTTTTCCTTTTGTCAACGCCCATGAAATATCACAATTAAATCAAGCAGTGATTGTCTGTTAGCAGATCAGTTTTAAATTACTTCAAGTTTTTACTGTACTTTATTTTGAGAGGATATCTCACCACATTTTTGGCTTATTGGGGTGCCAGTTTTACATTTTTATTGTAATATTTTATCCTAAAATTAAAATATATTCTTACATTATAGAAATCATGGGCCGGTAGGAAAGTCTTGTATAGCCTTACAGAAATATTCAGTTCTCTTAATCCTTCATTTGAAGAGCAACCTTTCTAAATTTAAAAACTGAACTTATTCACCATTTACTTTTAAATAGCTTAATCTCATTCAGATTTGATAGACACCTTCTGTGAGTTGCAGTCTTGAGGTTTTCCCCAAGATTATTGGATTAGTCTGGACCTTTATTTGACCTCTTGAAAACATTGTTATGCTTTAATATAAGCAATTCTAAGTGTTATTGTACTGCTGCAACATTAACTGCCATATTCCCATCAAATTTGGCCACCCATTTTGTAGTTGCTGGTAGGAAAAAAAATAAACAAAAAACACCACAATTTACTGTCGTGGTTGAGAACAGCATTAGTCTTCCACCCCACCTAAGATGTGCTCGTAGATCAAAATGTTGGATATCGGTTTCATATGACCAGATAAGAGATTTTGATTTTAAAAAAAAAAGAGAAATAAAAACCAGGCACCCTCTTTCTGTTCAAAACCTTTTGCAGTACTTTCTGTTGGTTTACTCCATGACACCCAACAAATGCATTGAAGTTTATAGTTGTAATGAAGAAAATATGGAAATGTTAGTTATGAATATATCTTGAGATGTTATGCAGCGATGCATACTGCTGTAAAAGCCACTGCAGTTAGACGGTAATCAGTCTGGATATACATGTGGTCAGTTTTGATGAGAGATGCCACTTCATGCGGCCATCTGCAAAAAGGTCTGACTCGTGTTTTAACTTTACACATGCAGCCAATCTGTTAATGTGTAAACACAGAATATAGTAGGGAAAGCCAATTTTAGAATTTTTTTTTGCATATGAATAGAGGTGCAAACTATTACTACACATAACCCAAAATGTAGCTGAACTATTTTAACCAAAGTGGGAATTATGCAGAATAATAGGCATTTACTTCTCTTTTCCACTGTGGAAAGTAACTATAGGTATTTCAGTCTTCTAATGGGCTCAGATGTCATCCATCCATCTATCTGTCCATTATATTCTGCTTAATCTGGGATCAGGTCGTGAAGGAGGCAGCAGCTTGAGCAGAGGTGCCCAGATTTTCCTCTCCACTTAGACCAGTTCCTCTGGGGGATTCCCAAGGCGTTCCACTGTTTCCCATGTCTTCCTCTGGGACTCTTCCCAGTGTGTTGTGCATCGAAAAGCTCACCAGGGAGGCATCAAGAATGATGTTGATAACCAGAACTGCTTAAAAATTGGTCTCGGTTATCAAGACGGTAGACCAGTTTAATGCATAGTTTTCTAGATTTTGTGCATTACTAAGTGCCAAAGGTGACTGCATATAACACCTGTAAGTTATATTTACCAACACGGTCTTAAAAACTCTGGAAACAAATAGCATTCTAATCTTATTGGATAAAAAAAGAAACTCTAACATAAATGTCAAATATGATAAACTGCATCCATATGTCTGTCAACTCCCCTATCTATCCATTAATCCAACCACCCATCCAATCATTCATACACTAATCTACCATTGGATTTGTCCATCAATCCATTCAGCCATCAATCACCTGTCAATATGGCCATTTGTCCACCAATCTGTCCATCAGTCATTCCTTAAAGTGAGGTCCATTGCTTGAAGTGTGGGATGTAGCGTCTAAACAATTTGTTAAACCTTTTCTGCACAGAAAAGCAGTTCTCAACAAAAGTTTCAATAATGCAGTACAAGCTCTGAGCTTGAAGTCAAATAAAACCGTCTTAAACATGCAACACGAGCAGTTTTCCTTCGCATTACCCAATTGTCAATTTAATTTTACAACTACTTCAGATGACATGAAAGGCTTAATATGATTGATTTTTGTGGTTTCCAGAGTAACGAGACCAAGATGAGACATTTCTTGAGTCATCGTTTTTAGGTGATGAAAGATAGTAGCTCGCAAAGATGCTCATCCCCTCCTGCAGTGGAGAGGCTGAAAGGCATATAGCTCCTGTTGTGAGATAGACCGTGAAAAGATGAGTCATTTAGGGACCAACATTGTTGCCATAGCAGCCTCAAGCCTTGAGAGCAAGCCAGGGACATGTTTGACTTTCCAAATACAGACCGCGTCATTTAAGGTTGATTTATCTGTCACTGGAGTAAAATTTTCAGCTGAGCCACAGTTCTAACACCAGCAAAGCTGAAGCTTATGTTTAA